GGATCGCTTGAACTCAAGAGCTTGAATTTACAGTGAGCTACGATCATGTCACTGCACTCCAGCCTGAGTGACAAAGACCCTGTCTCTAAAAAAAAAAAATTTTAATTGTTATTGGATTTTGCATGTCCTAGGTTGGGCAGAATGATTTGTTTTATACATAGTAGGTACTCAATAACTGAATCTAATTTCTTACCATACTAGGATCTTTGTGGGTCCAGAATAGGAAGAAAAAGTATTAAACTCCTATTAGTAAACTGCCAGATCAATATGTACTTGAATTAGTTTACTTGGCTGAATTAACTTTTTTAACTGAGTAGTATGAGAACCCTTATTTGATTTTACACTTACTGCTTCCATGCTCTCTTTCTTCATGTTCTGTGAATCCAATTGTTGTTGAAGTGTATCTAATTCCTAAGTGGAAAAAAAAAGCAAACATAAATCCAAATTACATTAAGAATACTTTGTAGTAGTGGGGGGAGGGAGCTTGGAAAAAAAAATTTGTTTCTCTATTTCTCAACATTTCAAATACAGATGTGACAAAGTAAATTTTCTAAATATCTTCACTGGCATCTTGCATTTTGACTAGAATTTATTAACACTTCATTATTTATATTTTTCCCATCTTCTTTTATTATTCTTAAAAACTTGCTGTGTGCCTTCAAAAAACAAAAAAACAAAAAAAAACTTCATGAGTTTCTCAAAAGTAGCTAGACCTTAGACCTTTTCACAGTGAATCATCACTATGTTCTGAGACATCAAGTATCAGAAGATTTCAAATTATGTCATTGTTTAAGGTTATTATTTAAAATATTGATGTTTAATCGTGTTTTCATATCTTTTGTCTAATTTCTCTACACTATACACACACACAACACATGCACACACACACACACATATACGTAAATATAAATATGGTTCACTCCTAGGATAAGATCCTTAAATTGTTTACTCATTCATTATCCCATACAAGATTAAATATATTTTGGAATTATTTTGGCATTTCTATCATACTCTTTCTTTTCTCTTTCTGAGACAGAGTCTCGCTCTGTTGCCCAGACTGGAGTGCAGTGACATGATCTTGGCTCACTGAAACCTCCACCTCCCAGGTTCAAGCAATTACCCGCCTCAGCCTCCCACGTAGCTGGGAATACAGCCGCCTGCCACCACACCCGGCTAATTTTTGTATTTTTAGTAGAGATGGGGTTTCACCATCTTGGCTAGGCCATACTCTTTCTTCAATGCTTCATTGTATCTTAGAAATCTTGTCTAAAATAAAAAGGTTACTAAATTGTCAGCAAAGGAATGTCTCAGAAACTAAAACTATAATCATTATTGGCATTTATGGGGCCTAATTCTTTGCTTAATCTTTATTAAGGGCCATCTGGGCATGAAAGGGCACCATCATGACTGAGCATTGAGAGGATTCTCAATATCCCCTAAGCAGGGATTTAAATTGCTTATTTAATATTACATGTTCTCACTCATCTGTAGGAGCTTAAAAAAGTGGATCTCGGCCAGGCACAGTGGCTCACACCTGTAATCCCAGCACTTTGGGAGGCCGAGGCAGGCGGATCATGAGGTCAGGAGATCGAGACCATCCTGGCTAACACAGTGAAACCCTGTCTCTACTAAAAATACATTAAAAATTGGCCAGGCATGGTAGCGGGCACCTGCGGTCCCAGCTACTCAGGAGGCTGAGGCAGGAGAATGGCATGAACCCGGGAGGCAGAGCTTGCAGTGAGCCGAGATCGCACAACTGTACCCCAGCCTGGGTGACAGAGTGAAACTCCATCTCAACAAAAAAAAAAAGGGAGGGAGGTAGTAGAATGATGGTTACCAGAGGCTGAGAAGTTGGTGCCCAGCTGGGGGCATGGGGCGGTGGAGGGGGAGAGAAGGAATAAATTCTCATATTTGATAGAACAGTAGGGTGACTATAGTTATCAATAATTAATTGTATGTTTCAAAATAGCTAGAAAAGGAGATTTAAAATGTTTCCAGCATAAGGCCGGGCACAGTGGCTCATGCCTGTAATCCTAGCACTTTGGGAGGCTGAGGAGGGCGGATCATGAGGTCAGGAGATCGAGACCATACTAGGTAAGACGGTGAAACCCTGTTTCTACTAAAAAAAATACAAAAAATCAGCCAGGTGTGGTGGCAGGCGCCTATAGTCCCAGCTACTCGGGAGGCTGAGGCAGGAGATTGGCATGAACCCAGGAGGCAGAGCTTGCAGTGAGTCAAGATCACGCCACTGCACTCCAGCCTGGGAGACAGATCAAGACTCCGTCTCAAAAAACTTTTTTAAAAAAGTTTCCAGCACAAAAAAAATCCTAAATGTTTGAGGTGATGAATATCCTGATTATCCTGATTTGATCATTATACATTGCACACATGCATGGAACTATCACATGTACCCCATAAATATATACAACTGTTGTGTATCAATAAAAAACTAATTTTTAAAAATGGATATTTAAGCAATATAATTACAGGACAATAGCCATTCAAATCATAATGCTAACAGGTAAAAAGTTTAGCTGTTTATTACGCAGGAAGGAAAAGGAAAGTAAATAGCTATATGGAGCTGGTCTATGAGGACTTCTTTTTTTCTTTTTTTTTTCTTTTTTTTTTTGAGATGGAGTCTCGCTCTGTCATCCAGGCTGGAGTGCACTGGCATCAGCTCACTGCATCCTCCACCTATGAGGCCTTTTAATGTTTGCATTAAAAGTCTATAACTGCAAGTATTTATAGACTTTTTAATTTATAGACAAGTATTTTTATAAATGCAAGTATTTTCATGTGTCTTTATGAAATGCAAAATGAATAAATAGAAGTGAACAAAAAATAATAAGAGTAAAAGCTAGGTCATCAAGCAGCATACAAAAACGAAGTTTTCTAAATAAATGCTTCTGAAATGTGAATGTCCGTTTGAATCAGTTGGGGACCTTGTTAAAATGAAAACTGATCTCAGAGTCTAGTCAAGCTCTCAGGGGATGTTGACGCTGCTGATATTCAAACTATACTGTTAGTAGCAAGACTGATACATGCTTGGCACAGAGTAATAATTCATATTACCTGTAACAGTTTCTCATTTGTGGCTTTCATCTCTAGGTACTTGACTTGGTTTTCAAGAGACATATTTTTGATAATGTCATCTGCTGCTTGTTTTTCCTGTTCAATTTCTTCTTCTACGCTTCTCATTTGTTTTTCTTTCCTAAAATCAAAAGCACGTAATATTCCTGATACCGTACTGAGGAAAAAATATCCAATTATTTTATACAAGTCACAGTCCTAATTTAATAGGATACTTAAAGATATTCAACCATAGTGTGTGACTGAAAAGTCTTTATATTTGTACTAAAAAAATGCTATTTGACCTATATAAAATTTGGCCCCAGTAGCACAAACTTATTTGGCATCTTTCTCTTCTCCATCCCCAAATTCCTCTATTTCCTTACTCTCCATTTTACTTTACTAAGAAATCACAAAGATTATCAAAGAAAATCTTTAATGACTTATATATATGAGGATGCATTTATACTTTTTAAAAGTTATACCTTCAAAAGACAAATAAGAGACTGGGCTCGGTGGCTCACATCTGTAATCCCAGCACTTTGGGAGGCCAAGGCAAGTGGATCACCTGAGGTCTGGGGGTCGAGACCAGCCTGGCCAACATGCCGAAACCCGATCTCTACTAAAAGTACAAAAATTAGCCGGGCCTGGCGGCGGGCACCTGTAATCCCAGCTACTTGGGAGGCTGAGGCAGGAGAATTGCTTGAATCCAGTGGGCAGAGGTTGCAGTGAGCTGAGATCGCGTCACTTCACTCTAGCCTGGGCAAAAGGGCAAAACTCCGTCTCAAAAAAAAAAAAAAAGACAAGTAAGAAGTTTTAGAATTGTGGTTTTCAAACATCCTTCAGCATAAATCTTTTTGACCAAATTAAATATTGTATAGAAGTTTGCCATGTAAATCATCCAGTGCAGCTCTGACAGAACTAGGAGAAGAGAGGCCTGCAGTGCAGTTTGATTTTTTTAAAGTTACGGCTTTAGATTAATAATATGCTTTGCTTAAATTCTCTTTTACTTACTGCTTTAGTTAACATTGCTGTTTCACAAATTATTGATATTTTTTAGCACTGTAAAATATTAAGCTCATTTCTCTAAAAACACAACAAACATTACAAATATAATTACACAAAAGTAGTAATAGTGAAATTAATTAGAAGCAATAACCATTTTTATCATGTAGTCAAAAGAATACCAATGACATGCCACTTGTTGCCTAGGCAAGGTCAATTATTGATAGGGTAGAGAAAAATTATGAAAAAAGAATAGGTAAGATGCCACTTATCTAAATACTTTCAAGATTTACATTTTATAAAAAGTTGGATTGAACATACATTTTCAGTCCCAAGATCATTAATTTCTATTTTGGGTTTCAAAATCTGATTAACCTATCACTATTTACTCTCTTTCGCTCATAGATGTCAACTTCTACAGTTGTCACCATCACCAGCTAAGCCTGTGGATCCACAAATCCCCTATACACCTTCTACACATTCATATCCTACTACTACAATAAACAACCTAAACTCAGAAATTTCCCTACCAAAAAAAAAATCTAAAATAACCAAATAAAAGATGAACATAATAAAACAGACAACCTGGAATTTCAATTTATTTTTGTGTTACTATTGGAGAAGATGTGGTATCTTCACTTGAAGCTTCAATTACAACAGTATAACAAATGTGTTTCCTGCTGCTACAATTTGTATAGGTATATGAGCTCACAGAATTTGAAAGAGGAAAATATCTATTTCAATCTCTTTGTTTCATAGATTAAGGATACTGAAGCCCAGTGGAATTAATCTTTTGGAAGGAATTCATTCTAAACTTGATTACTGACCACCAACAATGTTTCTTCCTACAATGTAGGAAGAAGAACTAATGTTATAAAGTATTTCATTTTACAGAGGAGAAATTACAGCATAAGAAAGGTAACTGACTTTCTCAAGGCCATATGATGTCCAGGTGTCAGGTCTTTTTGATGCTTTGAGTACTTTGCTCCTGTTATAAGTTGGCAGTAAAACCAGTGATGATGGTGTCATAAAAATAAGTAAACAAAAAAGTTGAAACGCAATAGAATACAAAACTTGGTAATATCTTTACAATTTGAATCCCTCCTTCCCTCCTTTTTCTTTTTCTTTTCCCCTTCCTTTCTTTTCCCCTTCCCTTCCCTTCCCTCCCCTCCCCTTCCTTCTCCTTCCCTCCCCTCCCTTCTTCCTCTTCCCCCTCCTCTCTCTTCTTTCTCTTTCTCTTTCTCTCTCTCTCTCTCTCCCCCTCCCTCCCTCCCCCTATTTCTATCTTTCTTTCTTGACAGGGTATCACTTGTCACCCAGACTGGAGTGTGGTAGCACAATCATGGCTCACTGCATGCTCAAACTCAAGCCATCCCCCCACCTCAGCCACCCAAGTAACTGGGACTAAAGGCACACAACGCTATGCCCTGCTAATGTTTTTACTTTTTATTTTGAATAGAGACAAGGTCTTGCTAAGTTGGCCAGGCTGGTCTCAAATTCCTGAGTTCAAATTCTTCTCTCACCTTAGCTTCCCAAAGTGCTGGGATTACAAGCATCAGACACTGCATCTGACCTCAATTTGAATCCTTCTAAGCATAAAATGCCATCAGGACAAACATAAATTAATTTAGCAACAGTATGTCTTTCAAAAGTATGCATTTTCAATATTGTAAACTCTAAATCAGTAAGTAAAATTGTTAACATTTTACTAAAAGAAACACAAAAGTAGGCCGGATACAGTGGCTCACACCTGTAATCCCAGCACTTTGGGAGGCTGAGGCAGGTGGACCACCTGAGGTCAGGAGTTTGAGACCAGCCTGGCCAACATGACGAAACCGCATCTCTACTAAAGGTACAAAAATTAGCCAGGAGCAATGCTGGGTACCTGTAATCCCAGCTACTCAGGAGGCTGAGGCAGGGAGAACTGCTTGAACCCAGGAGGCAGAAGTTGCATTGAGCCAAGATCATGCCACTGCACTCCAGCCTGGGTGACAGAGCGAGACTTCATCTCAAAAAAAGAAAGAAAGAAAGAAAGAAAGAAAGAAACACAAAGGTTAGGCAAACAGTCTTACTTGTTACACTAAAAAAAGGAAAAGACAACTTTAAGAAATTATTCTTCTAGTCAATGTTTTGCTAAGGAAGTCTAGTTTTCTGTTTTTTTTTTTTTAAGTCACCTGTTCACTGGGTACAAAGGTTAAAACAAAGTGAAATGTAATCATACGATATACTTTTTTTAATGCTGTTGAAGAAACAGAGTAATTTCCTTTAGCACACCAGTCTTAGAGACAAAAGAAAAAAGGTAAGCTCTATATATTTATAGCTTTGGTTATTGTTGTATTTTTTAAAAAATCATATTTAAGTTTGTTAAGTCTGTACAACAATCTTTGCCTTTAAGAAGTGATGAAAAATAAGAAAATGTGATTATATTTTCACACGGTCTACCTCAAAAATACTATATACCTGGGACATGGCCAAAGGGTCTTTCCTAAATAAAGTTAGAATACAATACTAAGTAATTGTTTTTGGGGAGGGGGGAAGGTTTCATCTAGCCAATCAAATTTAGAAGATTTTTTATTTTAAAATACGTTAATCACAGAGCATTCTGAAGCGACATTAGTCTAAAAGCCTACTTGCAAGATAAAAAAAAAAGACTGGCCATGAGTTGATAATTATTGAAGCAGGGTGATAACTATTCTCCTTACTTAGGTTTTTTTCCTTGAAATTTTCCATTACAAAAGGTTTTAAATTTGAAAAAAATCTACACAATAAATAAGGAAATGAAGTTAATTGTGTATTATTAACATCGTACTCTAAAGACATTGAATTCTGAAATAAATATCTAAAATATTTAATGGAAAAACTACATTTAGATTTTATTTAACAAAACCAAAATAATTGGAGCATCTCTTTATTTCATAGCATATAATAATCACATAAAATAAATAACTTAAGAAACATGTACTTGAAACTTTATTAAGAACAATGCTTCTTTTTCAGTATCCACCATTTCCTTTGAGTAAAGCTCTTTTTTTGTTCCAGTAATGTAGATCATATGCTAGGTAAAAATGCACATAATTTTGTGAAATAACAAAAGACACTGATATTCCATTTTCTATTCCAGTTTTCTATTTTATATTAGTTCCTAAGTAATCACTATATGAAACTCAACTATCATTTCAAAAAAAATCCAAATTAGAAAATATTCCAAAAGGAGAAATAAAGCAGCAATAACTGACTTCCTTTAAAACCAACTGTTGAAACAGGCTAAACTGACTCATGGATAATTTCTGCATTATCTACTTGGCTAGCTATTTTGCCTATATGATTTTTCTTTTTTTAAGACACCCAATAATGCTAGCAAATGCTTTGTCTGGGGATTTGAATAGTGTCATGAAAATCAACATTCGCCCCCTCTTACAATCTTTCTCCTCTCAAAAGGCACACAAAAATGTGAAAACTCTCACGCATAGTATGCATCAATCAATGTATTTCACAGCTTCAGACCTAACAATGCTTTAGATTTGTTGAACGCTTTCTTGTACAGAATCTACCTTGAGCTGAGTATACGCTGCTTCTAAGATCTACCAAATGGAAAAGAAAAAAAATCCTTTTCTAATCCTTATGATTTTTTTCTGATTTTTTTCTTTTAGCACACTTGAGAAAACAATTATTAGCATTAAATAGCAGATACAGATAATAAATATAAAACTATACTCTGTCTCCATTTCCACATAAGCTCACAGTCATGCCTTGCCTCTATTACTTTGTTCACCTGCTTCTATTTCATATCAACTTTTAACTTAAATCTAGTTAGTTTTCTTTGTAGCCTATTTGCTTTCTTTCACTATCCCCATCCTATTTGTTTCTGGAAAAAAATAGCACTTCCCTTAACTCACCTCTCCTCAGTCACCTCTGCATCCTACTAGAGACATCAGTAAGAATGTCACCATATCATTGAGAAATAGTGAAACAAGCCATTGAAGAAGCTGAACACCTATTCCTAGGAATCATTAAACACAGGTAAACTACCTTTTGTAAATGATTTAGGCAGCCCTCTTCTGTGGGCAATTATCTTGAATAAGTGATAGCTTAAATGCACTTCTGGCTCTAAAAGGCATTCTATTATGATCTACATCCAAATTTTATAAAATATAAGAGGCAGAGTAGCTTTTTCTAACAAATTGGATTTAACTATGGAAGGAGAGAAGGTAGAAGGGGAATAAGCATAAATGGATCAACAAATCAAAGGCAATGAGGAAGTTGACTAGAACAGATTAGCACTATAATAGCAGTAAATTCCTTATTGCTAACGAGGCGAGAGACTTTAGTATGCTGCATGGATTCTTATTTACTCTGATTAGTTTTTCTTTTTTTTTTCTGAAACAGTCTCACTGTCACCCAGGCTGGAGTGCAGTGGCATGATCATAGCTCACTGCAACTTCTGCCTCCCAGGTTCAAGCAATTCTGCTGCCTCAGCCTCCCAAGTAGCTGGGATTACAGGCACCCACCACTGCACCCGGCTAATTTTTGTATTTGTAGTAGAGATGGGGTTTCACCATGTTGGCCAGGCTGGTCTCAAACTCCTGATCTCAGGTGATCTGCTCGCCTCGGCCTCCCAAAGTGCTGGGATTACAGGCGTGAGCCACTGTGCCCGGCCTACTCTGATTAGTTTTTCTATTATCTGCTATAATGAAATAAACTTTCCTTAAAAAAATCGTAAGTAACTAATTGTAACAAATGCTGTAAGAATGCTCAAAAGACTAAATTTCTGAACACCCTTAAGGATGACAGAATATATTTATATATTTTCAAATGGATAATTTGTTTGCAAAAGGGTTTCTAAAGTTGACTTTAAGAAAACAGAGATAAAGAACAAGAAACATCAAGGTCATGAATAAAATGACTAAATAAAAAAGTAACTATTTGGCAAGAAGAGTACAGTCCAATAAATGTCGATTTCTAGGCAAAGCTGAAACCTTAAATGCACCCATTAACTTTAAATTGTGTTCAAAACCTGATTAACATGAAAATAAAAGGTAAAAAGGGATATAAACTCAAAGGACAAACAGAATGGAACAGGAGTCAATAGCAATGAAACCTAGAAACCAGAAACCTAATAGCTGAGTGGAAATTGACTAGGAAAACAAAAATTTCCCAAGTCAGCAATGAGAAAAGCTGAGAGTCACTTGAACTGCACTGCAGAAACTCTAAATAGCCCAGAAATTGGCAGCACCAGGTATTCTGAAAGTAGAGGAGAGGCTAATTCCTCTCTGTCTGTCTAGCCAGATAATGTTCCTTCTCTACACAAGCAGATTAGAGGATCCCCCATGCCACCAGAATAAAACAAAGGGAATTTGGGCAATGGGCACAAGTGAGTGCAAAGGCATTGTTGAGATTAAGTTATAGTTTCCATACTAAATATTGATGCAAATCCAGCTTTTTTATCACTTAGCACTCAGAATGCTGGCTACCAGGCCATTATCTCTTTGGGCAGTAAATCAGAAGAGTCATTTTGTGGATAATGACATTCCCTAAGAAAACAGTCCAGCAGTTACACTCTGTGGTCAAGTCTAGAAACAATGAGACCCACACAAATGCATTTTCCTATCAGCTTTTTAGTTTCCCACTCTCACACATAAACCCTAAATAAAATATTAACAGACTAAGAAGAAGGCCTCCAATATAAAGGACACTGCCCAAAGATAACTGGAAAAATACAATCTAAGGATATAGAGGCTATTCAAAGAAAAGGAAATAACAAAAGGCACAATGATAAACAAGAAAATATAATATATTCATGCAACAGAATACTAATAAAGAAAATATTCTGAAACAAAAAAGCTCTTAGAATTAAAAAAGATGGCAAAAAATTAATAGAAGAATGTGAAGATAAAATTGAGGATGTCTCCCAGAAAGGAAAGCAAAAAACACACTGAGATAAAATGTAGGACAGTAAAGGTTTTAAAATCAGTCCACGAGGTCCAACACCCAATTGAGGAAATTCTAGAAAAAAAAAAGTGAAATTTTATTTTAAAAAATAAAAAAATTATATCATCAATGAGATAATTCAGAAAATTTCCCAAAACTGAGTGACATAGCTTCTAGATGGAAAAGACTGACCAAGTACCCAGTTTAATAAATGAAAACAGGCCGGGTGTGGTGGCTCATGCCTGTAATCCCAGCACTTTGGGAGGCTGAGGTGGTGGATTACGAGGTCAGGAGATCGAGACCATCCTAGCTAACATGGTAAAACCCTGTCTCTACTAAACATACAAAAAAATTAGCCGGGTGTGGTGGCGGGAAAGACACAGGATAATGAATATAGTATTGATTTTAAAAGCTTTGATAAATAATTAGAATGACATGGTATATTTCTTAACAGTAATACTAGAAACTCAAAGACAGTAGGGTAATCCCATCAACATTTTGAGGGAAAATTACTTCTTACCTAGAATTCTATCTCTAGCCAAAATATCTTTCCAAGTCTAAAAAGTTTTCCCTCCTATCCACATTCTCTAGAAGCTACTGAGGAAGCTCCATTGAAGAAAGGCAATAAACCAGACAGGGTGTTCTAGAAAATAAGTACCCAGTAACAAAGGCAAAAGGTAGACTCTTTGATGAGGGTGGAAGTAAACAGCTGTGCAGAAGGCCTAGTGATCAGCTAGCTCCTCCAGATTACAGCATGGTAGCAGGCTCTGGGAGGGAGTTTTTAAGCTGATAAAACAGGTTAAATACTTAATATCCATAAACAAATGACAGATATGCTAGGGGAGAGTTTGGTCATAACAAGAAAACTAAGCACATGAAAAAACAGTACAATTAGTTTGGAGGAAACAAAAAGGGTGCAGCAACAGAAAAGTGATCTTGTTACATGGCTTAGCCAATAACAGCTTTTTATTGACTGAGTTCAATCATTCATGACAGTACAAACACTGAATACTCATCTAACCAGAATTACAAGTAACTATGTTAGGAGATAAAGACATAGGAAGTATATATTTGATGTGTTGGAGATGAAGGGAGGGGGTATTTGAAAGAGAGCTGAAGGGGCTATCAATTCCAAAATGGTGGCCAAGAAGCAAGCTGGCTTCACTCCCCTCTACAGAAAATCAAAAACAAATATACAGACCTGAGGTAATTACCAGCAATATACCAGAATTCAAATGTGAAGATGAGACAGTTCTAGGGCCACAGAGAAGTGAACAAACTTTGAGCAGATAGTAAGAGAACTGGACTTCCATATCCACAATGCCCCTCCCCCATTCAACCTAGCACAAAGCATGTGAGAAAATTTCCCCCAAATTACAGTTTCTACCCACCATCTTGTATTCCCTGGCAAGAGACTTGTCCCTGCTTTTAACCCATGGGAAACATCTCAAGTGCCTGGAGACAGAAATATTCCTGAGGACATGTAGAGACAAAGAAGAGAGACAAGATTATCATCCCCAGATCTGGAAACTCTGCTCTGTAACTCAGCCAAAGCGACACCAAATCAGAGTAGCTGTTCAACAGCACCACTTTGTAGGAGGTTGGCTCCACAGGTCTCTAGTGTGGGAAGGCTGGCTGGGCATGAACCTCTAGCCACCATTCCCACACTACCAGGATATCCCCTGGAACCTCCCCCATTCAGGAAGAGCAGTGCTCTGGTCATTTACCAGAGCCAAGGTGAAGCTGGGCTTAAGGTGCCATCTAAAGCTGCAAAGGAGGCAGCAACCTAGTGGTAAAAGATCCTCTAAGCAAATATATTCAATAAAAAACAAAATAAGCCACACAGAGAATATTGGAATAAACAACTAATCTGACAATGCAATGACACATATATATATCTACAAGAAATAACAGCCAACAGGCCAGGTGCGGTGGCTCACACCTATAATCCCAGCACTTTGGAAGGCCAAGACAGGCAGATCACTTGAGGTCAGGAGTTTGTGACCAGTCCGACCAACATGGAGAAAAAATACTAAAAATACAAAATACGTCTCTACTAAAAATACAAAATTAGCCAGGCGTGGTGGTGCATGCCTGTAATCCCAGCTACTTGGGAGGCTGAGGCAGGAGAATCGCTTGAACCCAGGAGGCAGAGGTTGCAAAGAGTCGAGATTGCGCCATTGCACTCCAGCCTGGGCAACAAGAGTGAAACTCTGCCTCAAAAAAAAAAAAAAAAAAAAAAGGCACAGCAAACAGGGAACCACGATGTGTTGGTCTATTTTTCATTGCTATAAAGGAATACTTGACATTGGATAATTCATAAAGAAAAGAAGTTTATTTGGCTCACAGTTCCACAAGTTGCAAAAGCATGGCACCAATATCTACTCAGTTTCTGGTGAGGCCTCAGGAAGCTCTTTGTCACAGTGGAAGGCGAAGGTGGAGCAGGTGTGTCACATGGCAGAGAGAGGGAGTAAGAACAAGAGGAGGAGGTACCAGGCTCCTTTAAACAGCCAGTCAGTAGCTTCCAGTCAGCACTATGCCTTTTAATTGGAGAATTAAGTCTATTTACATTGCCTTTACTGTTGGATCCTACAAAATATTTAAAGAAGAACTAATACCAATTCTACTCAAACTCTTCAAACAAAATTAAAGAGAAGGGAATATTTCCAAACTTATTCTACAAGATCAGCATGACCCAGACACCAAAACTAGACAAGGGCACAACAAAAATGAAAACTACAGTCCAATATCCCAGAAGAACACAGATGCAAAAACCCTCAACTAAATAACAGCAAACCAAATTCAACAATATTTTAAAAAGATTATTCACCGTACCAAGTGAGATTCATTCCAGAGATGCAAAGATAGTTCAACATATGCAATTCAATAAGCATGACAATATGGTTTGGATATTTGTCCCCATCCAAATCTCATGTTGAACTGTAATCCCCAGTGTGGGAGATGAAGCCTGGTGGGAGGTGTTTGGATAATGAGGGCGGATCCCTCATGAATGGCTTGGGCCATCCCCTTGGTGATAAGTAAGATCTTGCTCTGAGTTCACAAGAGATTTGGTTGTTTAAAAGTGTGTGGCACCTCCTTTCCCACTCTCTCCTCCTTTCATCATGTGATGTGCTGGCTCCCCTTTCACCTTCTGCCACAACTATAAGCTTCCTGAGGCCTCCCCAAAAAATGAACTGCACCATGCTTCCTGTACAGCCTGTAGAACTGCGAGTCAATTAAATATCTTTTCTTATAAATTACCCAGTCTCTAATATTTCACTATAGCAGTGCAAGAACAGCCTAATACACATGGTAAGCTGGGCACAGTGATATGTGCCTGTAATCCCAGCTTCTCAGGAGGCTGAGGTGGAAGGAACACTTGAGTCCAGGAGTTTCCAACCACCCTGGACAGCAAAGCAAGACTCTACCTTAAATAATAATTATTATAAAATAAAATAAACATGATACATCACACTAATAAAACCAAGAACAAAAACCATATAATTATTTTAATAAATGCTGAAAACACAGTTGAAAAATTCAACATCCCTTTATGATAAAATTCTCATTAAACTGGGCACACAAAGAACATACTTCAAGATAACAAATGCCATATATGACAAACCCACAGCTAACACCATTCTGAAAGGGGATAAATTGAAGGCCTTTCTTGTAGATGTGGAACAATACAAGGATGCCTACTTTCACCACTTTTTCTCAACACAGTACTAGAAGTCCTGGCCAGAGCAATTAGGCAAGAGAGAGAAATGAAAGGCATCCAAATTGCAAAAGAAGAAGTCAAATTAGACTTGTTTGCAGATGACATGCTTTTTTTTTTTTTTTTTTGAGACAGAGTCTCACTCTGTCGCCCAGGCTGGAGTACAGTGGCGTGATCTCGGCTCACTGCAACCTCCACCTTCCAGGTTCAAGCGAGTCTCCTGCCTCAGCCTCCTGAGTAGCTGGGATTATTACAGGCATCTACCATCACACCCAGCTAATTTTTGTATTTTTGGTAGAGACGGGGTTTCACCATGTTGGTCAGGCTGGTCTCAAACTCCTGACCTCGTGATCCAACCACCTCAGCCTCCCAAAGTGCTGGGATTACAGGCATGAGCCATCGCACCCAGCAGACATGATCTTATACTTAAAAAAAATTTTTTTAAAAACCACCCTAAATACGCCACAAAAAAAATCTGTAAAAACTGATAACTGAATTCAGTAAAGTTGCAAGATACAAAATCATCATATAAAAATTGGTAGAATTTACATATGCCAACAGTGAAGAATCTGAAAAAGAAATCAAGAAAGCAAGCCTGTTTACAATAGCTACAAAGACTATAAAATACCTTGCAATCAATTTAACCAAAGAAGTGAAAGATCTACATAACAAAAACTATAAAACACTGATGAAACAAACTGAAGAGGATACAAAAAAATGGAAATATAATCCATGTTCATGGAGTCGAAGAACATTGCTAAAATATCAATACTAACCAAAGCAATTTACTGATTCAGTGCAATTCCTATCAAAATACAGTGACGCTCTTCATAGAAGTAGAAAAAAAATCCTAAAACTCATACGGAACCACGAAAGATCCCAAATAGCCAAACAACCCTCAGCTAAAAGGAACAAAGCTGGAGGCATCACACTACCTGACTTCAAAATTTTCTACAAAGCTATAGTAACCAAATCAGCATGGCACTGGTATAAAGACAGATCCATAGACCAATGGGATGGAATAGAGAACTCAGATATAAACACACGCATTTACACCAACTCATCTTCAACAAAGGTGCCAAGAACATACAATGGAGAAATAATAGTTGTTTCAATGAATGCTGCTGGAAAAACTGAATAACTACATATGGAAGAACAAAACCAGACCCCTATCTCTTGCCATATCCAGGAATAATAATGAATTAAAGACTTAAATCTAAGTAAGACCTCAAACTATAAAACTGTTGCAAGAAAACATTGAGGAATTGCTCTAGAACACTGGTCTGGACAAAGGTTTTTTCATATCTGTAAGGCCTCAAAAGCACAGGAAACCAAAGCAAAAATGTACAAATGGGGTTTCGCCAAGCAAAAAACCTTTTGTACAGCAAAGAAAATGGTCAACAAAGTGAAGAGACAACCTACAGAATGAGAGAAAATATTTGCAAACCAGCCATCTAACAAGGGGTTAATAATCAGAATATATAAAGAATTCCTACAGTTCAATAATAAAAAACAAATAATCCAAGTAAACATGGCAAAAGAACTGAATAGACATTTCTCAAAAAACATACAAAAGGCAAACAAGTATGTGGAAAAAATGCTCAACATCAGTAATCATTCAGGGAAATGCAAATCAAAACTACAATGAGATATAATCTCACCCCCAATAAAGTAGCTTCTATCAATAAGACAGGCAATAACGGATGCTGATGAGGATGTGGAGAAAGGGGAACCCTCATACAGTCTTGGGAATGTAAATTAGTATAGCTACTCTGGAGAACACTATGAAGGTTCCTCAAAAAATTAAAAATATAACACATTTATATTTGATCCAGTAATTCCACTGGATATACATTTTTAAAAAAGAGATGATTATATTAAAGAGATAGCTGCACTCCCACATTTATTGCAGGACTATTCACAAGAGCAAAACTATGGAATCAACCTAAGTGCCCATCAACAGATGAATAGATAAAAAAAATGTAGCATATATATACAAGGGACTATTATTCAGCCATAAAAAAAATGAAATCCTGTCATTTGCGGCTACATAAATGCAACCAGAGGTCATTATGTTAAGTGAATTAAGCCAAGCACAGAAAGACAAATATCGCACATTCTCACCTGCATGTGGGAGCTAAAAAAGTGGATCTCATACAGATTAAGAGTAGACTGGTGGTTACCAGAGGCTGGAAAGGGTGGTGGGGAGGGAGGAATGCAGAGAAGTTTATTAATGCATACGAACATACAGTTTACTTAAAAAAGAAGGCCTAGTGTTAGATCAGTAGGGTAATTATAGTTTACAATGATGTTTTTCCTTCAACTTTTATTTTTAAGTTCCGGGGTACATGTGCAGGTTTGTTACATAGGTAAATGTGTGCCATGTTGGTTTGCTGCACAGATCAACCCGTCACCTAGGTATTAAGCCCAGCATTCATTAACTATTCTCTGATGCTCTCCCTCTCCTCTAATTTACTGTACATTTAAAAACAGCTAAAAGAGTATTTGAATGTTTCCAGTATAAAGAAAAGAAAAATATTTAACATGATGGATACCCCAAGTACATTAATTTGATTTTTTAAAATTATATGAATGCACTACATTATCACATGTACCCCAAAACTATGTATATCTATTATGCCTCAATAAAATTTTTAAAAATTACCATGGGGGGGGGGAAAACAGTGCTAAAGATTCTCATCTCCCACAGTTTTAAGTCAAGGTTAATACCAATAGATAATGCCTAAAATTGAAAAAATCAAGACCATCAATATAAGCATATACTTATGCATAAATATATATTTTCCTGAATTTCTTTTGTGCACTTATATATTAAGTTTTTAAAGTTTACAACCACTTAAATTGCTTTAAAGCTCCTTTCGTCATATCTAGAAACTAATGAGACATCCTTAAAGATATTAATTCTCTCTAAAAAGAAAAAATAAAAATAAGTCTCTCATTCTTCAAAGGGGCTTTCTAGTTTGTTAAGATCAGAGTCCAAGGATGGTGAATGGCTGTGCACTTGTTTCACATTTTATGTGTTTCGAGAAAAAGTAGATTTGAAAGGCCAGGATAAGTGGCTCATATCTATAATCCCTGCACTTTTCAAGGCTACATCAGTGCCTGGGGTGAAATGGCTCGCACCCAGGAGTTTGAGAGCAGGCTGAGTAACACACGGTGACGCCATCTCTCCAAAAATTTTAAAAATTAGCCAGGCATGGTAGCGCATGCCTGTGTTTCAGCTACTTAGGAAGCTGAGTTGGGAGGACTGCTTAAGCCTGGGAGATCAAGGTTGCAGTGAGCTGTGACCATGCCACCAGGTCTGGGTGACAGAGTGAGACCCTGTCTGAGCTAAAAAAAAAAAAAAAAAAAAAAAAACAGATTCAAAAGGGCAAAAAAAAAAAATGTCCTTAAAATCTCTAAAGTTCTAGTTTACCATCAAAATAAAAATACTCTCTTTTCTATCAGGTCTGCAACATGAAAGTCACAGGCATCACAATCCTCTTTTGGCCTCTCTCCATGGTATTATTATCAGACAAAATCCAGTCTTCTAAAAGAGTAAGTTTTTACAATCAAAATAGTAAAAATATTGTCAAAGGTACATTTTCTGTATATTTAGTAAAATATCAAAGGGCAATAAGAAAGCAAAGAAAATCTGACCTACTAAAATTGTTTACTTAGCTGTGTATATCCAAATTCCAATTTGACAAAAGCAGCCTTCATTTTTAAAAACTGAGTTCTTTAAAAGTTGATTAAAGGGAGAGATCTGAAAATTTTCACTATAAAATCAGAAATTAGTTTCAAGACTAAAATCTTGTTTAAAATGTAGGAAACTTTTTTTTAAAAAATCACGTATTTATGAGGGAAACTGCTATTGAATTATTATTGGTGAAAAAATCTAACTGCAAAAACAGTAATAAGAACTATTCTTAGTTCTATTTATTCTTAGTTTACTATTCAGTAAAAACCAGAACTATTTCTTTCTTTCCATCTATATCCACATAAAGGAAGTATTTCAGATTGTGTGGCTCTTTAAATTCAATACACAGCTCCATTTCTGATATAAGATAAATATTTCCTTTTAAAACACCAAACTTTGAACTGTTAAACCCAGAGAGCTATATATTGACATTTATTGATTGCTTTTGGGACGGAGACTCGCTCTGTCGCCCAGGCTGGAGTATAATGGCATGATCTCAGCTTACTGCAACCTCTGCTTCCTGGGTTCAAGCAATTTTCATGCCTCAGCCTCCCAAGCAGCTGGGATTACAGGTGCTTGCCACCACGCCTGGCTGGTTTTTTTTTTTTTTTTGTATTTTTAGTAGAGACAGGGTTTCACCATGTTGGACAGGCTGGTCTTGAACTCCTGACCTCAGATGACCTGCCTACCTGGGCCTCCAAAAGTGCTGGGATTACAGGCATGAGCCACCATGCCCAGCCTATTTATTAATTATTTAACAGCCCTAGGTATAATGTCGTTAGCTCTGCTGATTTTAAAAACACATATAGTTTAAAATAATTTCCTCACTATAAAGCAATCGTGCACACTGGAATATCAAATGTTAACAGAATTATTATTTACCATATATTTCCACATATGTAAATGGGAATATACCAATAGCATTACTTTCTGTAATGATCATGTAATAACAGTTGGAAAATACCCATATAACAAATTGGAATCTCTTTGTTCAATTGTATGTATCAGAATATCCTTAATTTTTAGTATTTCATCCCAGAAAAGAAAAAGATTTGCTCTACTATAACACCAAAGATTAGATAGTAGGTTTTTTTCCCAAAGTAATTTCCTTCTAATGTCTAAGTGCTGAAATATGAAATTTGAGGAAATTCTATTGATACGTTTTTCTGATTAATGCATTTCTTTTTTTTTTCTTTTTCTAGGAAGTCCAATGTAATTTCACTGAAAAAAATTATTCCTTGATTCCAGCAGATATCAAGAAAGATGTTACTATACTTGATCTCAGTTATAACCAAATTACTCTTAATGGTACAGACACAAGAGTTCTACAGACATACTTTTTACTCACAGAGCTCTACTTGATTGAGAACAATGTTACTGTCTTACATAATAACAGTTTTGATAACCTCTCCAGTCTAGAAATTTTAAATATCTGTAGAAACTCCATCTATGTAATTCAACAGGGTGCATTTTTAGGCTTAAATAAACTAAAACAGTTACATCTCTGCCAAAACAAAATAGAACAACTGAATGCTGATATATTTGTGCCTCTAAGAGACCTAAAACTTCTGAATCTGCAAGGCAATTTGATTAGCTATTTGGATGTACCACCACTATTTCATCTGGAATTAATAACTTTATATGGAAACCTATGGAACTGCTCTTGCAGTCTATTTAATTTGCAGAACTGGTTGAACACATCAAATGTGACATTAGGTAAGCTATCATAATTAAGCAAAACCAACATGTGATTAACTCAATGTTCCACCACAGAAAAATTTCTCATATCATGTTTTAAAGAAAAGGAAGCAGCCAGGCGCAGTGGCTCACACCTGTAATCGCATCACTTTGGGAGGCCAAGGCAGGCAGATCACCTGAGGTCAGGAGTTCGAGACCAGCCTGGCCAACATGGTGAAACCCCATCCCTACTGAAAATACAAAAATTAGCTGGGTGTGGTGGCACATGCCTGTAGTACCAGGTACTCAAGAGGCTGAGGCAGGAGAATCACTTGAATCTAGGAGGTGACACTGCAGTGAGCCAAGATTGTGCCACTGCATTCTAGCCTGGACAACAGAGTGAGACTCTGTCTCAGAAAAAAAAAAAAAAAAAAAGGAAAAAATTTCTGTTTAAGCAAAACAGGAAGAGACACTAAAAAGTAACAGCTGCATAGATGCTCTCCTTTCCCATTACCAGGGGGAAAAATTAAGAATTTTTTTTTTTTTTTGAGACAGAGTTTTGTTCTTGTTGCCCAGGCTAGAGTGCATTGGCGCGATCTCAGCTCACCACAACCTCCACCTCCCAGGTTCAAGCAATTCTCCTGCCTCAGCCTCCTGAGTAGCTGGGATTACAGTCATGCGCCACCATGCCTGGCTAATTTTTTGTATTTTTAGTAAAGATGGGATTCCTCCATGTTTGTCAGGCTGATCTCGAACTCCCGACCTCAGGCGCTCCACCCGCCTTGGCCTCCCAAAGTGCTGGGATTACAGGTGTGAGCCTCCGTGCCCAGCCAGAAATGTAAATGTTCTATATATGTAAGATGATAACGTCACTTCGTGTATTGTTAGCAAAGTCAATATGTAAGAGTAATTTTTTAACAGTGCTTCCTAGACTAAGTGAAAACAAGTGACCTATTTTAACTGCAAATACTGTGCCTGAGATCCAGATTGTAACCATGTAACCACAATATTAATAATACAATCTACACTAATACAGATAAACTAAATAATAAACAGATACTGCATTTAAGCTGTATTTATAAAATAATAAACAGAAATGTGCATTATCCTTTCACTGTGTTGCTAGACAAATACAACAGGAATTTCTTATAATGCCTTTAAGAATGACAGATATGTCAAAAATTCTAGATAAAACAATTATAAAATGTTGTTAACTATTAAAATGTTGTTAACGGTTATTTTTCTCTATTCTAAATCTTATTATTTCTGATTTACTAGAAAATGAGAACATCACCATGTGTAGCTACCCCAACAGCCTGAAGAGCTACAATATTAAAACAGTACCTCCTAAGGCTGAATGCCACTCAAAACTTCCTTCACCAGTAACTGAAGATCTTTATATTCATTTTCAGCCCATCAGCAATTCAACATTTAATAGCTCTTTGAACAACTTAACAAGAAATTCAGGTAATGTACCAGTTCTTAATATTAACACTGCTGAATGTATCATACTAAATAAACTGAGGTAGTTATCTTTATTTTAAATTTCTATAAAAATATAAAAGAAAGATTCCTCATCCAACTAAAGATTTACAAAATATTGGTCTTCCAACCTAGGTTCTGCTAGTTACAAGCCAAATGCCATTGTGCAAATTATTTAACTTCTCTGAGCCTTTGTTTTAACTAGTCTAGTCACAAATCTCAACGAGTATAAATCAATAATGGTCTTAGGTAAAAAGGTAACAAAATGGCAATAGCTGTTTTGAAAAAAGAGAATTCTTCTACCACACAAAATTTGTCAAAAGAAAACTACAATGTATGTTTATTTCTAATACCAATATTGAGGAGAATTAGGATATATAATTATGATTATTTTGCCAACTTAACAAATTTTCTTTCTCTCTTCTCTCTCGGTATTCCATTAAAGAACATATACCTCTTGGAAAAAGCTGGGCTTTTCTCGTTGGTGTTGTTGTCACTGCACTGACAACTTCACTTCTCATTTTTATTGCTATCAAATGCCCAATATGGTACAATATTCTGCTTAGTTATAATCATCATCGCCTGGAAGAGCATGAAGCAGAAACCTATGAAGATGGTTTTACTGGAAATCCAAGTTCTCTTTCACAGATACCAGAAACAAACTCTGAAGAAACTACAGTAATATTTGAACAATTACATTCATTTGTGGTAGATGATGATGGATTTATTGAAGACAAATATATAGATATCCATGAATTACGTGAAGAAAATTAATTTCTTTCAAAGTTTGCTGTTTAAACAAAGTTATCAGCTCACTCACAGTTTAGATATGGAGATTTTGCTATGTGATATACCAAAATACAGCTAGCAGACATTCATATTAATGACAACGTACATGAATATCATAAAATTATGTTCTTTGCATTGTATTGAGCAAGCAGGTCCAAATACAATAACTGACACTCCCTGGTAGCTGACAGTTACATAGTTTACAATACTAGCACTCCTATTCTTAGCAGTGTTTGGGTGACCATACAGACTAGTAAAAAGGCCTAAATTATTCATTAATTAAAATGAATGGATTCTCATATTAACACAGATATTTGACATAATATGTATTAAATTACACTAAAGTTTCAATCAGTAAAGAAATAAAAGTTTGGGATTTATTAATATATGGTAAGTCAAAGTGAGGAACAGATAGCTTAAATAATATAAGATTGATTTTATGCTCACAGAATAAATTCATAGAGTTGGAAAATATTTTTTCAAAATGCTTCCTGAAATAGCATAATAAATTTCCTTAAAATTTTATAGCAATTTAAAGCACAAGCACAATGTTCAGGCATAATCCCTAATAAGTCACTACTGATTCTGGTTATAAAGAAAGGCTGTCACCATAATGCAGGATCACTACAGTTGAATATCATAGTGGCTTACAAAGTGGGCATCACAATAATCTATAAATCTTGTTTTAAAAATACATATTTCTACCTCTCTCTGGGAGATTTTTATTCAAATTGATCTGTGCTGGGACTGAGGAATCTTCATGTGGTCCACAGACAGCTGTTTCTATCTATTCAGTAGATACAGCAATGTTTCCCAAATTGTTTTCCCAAAATACTAATTTCCAGAGAGACATTCACAAGTATTTACAGGAGAAGAAAAAGGTACATGGTCAAATTACTATAGGAAAAACTAGGTTTAAACAAAGTGAAACAAGATTCTTTTTATTTATTTATTTATTTATTTTGGAGACAGAATGTGGCACTGCCACCAGGCTGGAGTGCAGTGGTGCTATCTTGGCTCACTGCAACCTCCGCCTCCTGGGTTCAAGCGATTCTTCCGACTCAGCCTCCCGAGTAGCTGGGAGTACAGGTGCACACCACCATGCCTGGCTAATTTCTGTATTTTTAGTAGAGATGGGGTTTCACCATATTGGCCAGGCTGGTCTCCAACTCATTATCTCGTGATCTGCCCACCTAGACCTCCTAAAGTGCTGGGATTACAGGCGTGGACCACTGTGCCTGGCCAAGATTCTTTACAATAGGATTTATGAAAAACTTTACTAAGCTAAATTTACGGCTCTCTGATTATTCGAGAGCAAAGTATTAAAAATTTCCCAAACTTACTTGACAACAAAACCCATTCTTTGAGTTACATCTACTAAGAGCTCGTAGTTCAACAACAATCCAAAGAACATAGTTTGGAAAACACTGGCCTATAGACTGTAATAGGAAGGGTCTAAAGAGAATTATTTGCCAATTCCTTGTAATCAATTGGCTACAATCATAATTAAAAATTTATCAATGCAAACAGTACATTAAAAACTGTAGCACAATCTATAATTTTTACCTTCATATGAAGAGAAATTAAGAATTTATGTCTTTTACAAATAAGTATATCTCTGAAACACTGAAATATATTTATGGGTGAAATAATATTTCTGGTATTTTCTTCATTATAACACATGGAATGGAAAAGTGGCCAGAGGTATGGATAGAGCAAGGTCAAATATGAGCTGAAGAAGCTGGGGGCTGAGTACATAAGGATATAATATGCTATTTTTATGTATGTTGTGTATGGTATAGTATGCTATTTCTGTGTATGTTCAAATTGTTTATGTATATAATAAAGTTTTACAAATTTGTATGTACTTGACAATTCCTTAGAAAAAAGAAACTAAAATAAAATAGATCTATGTCATAATCTACAGAATAGTCATTTTAAAAGTTACGGCCGGAAGCAGTGGCTCACACCTGTAATCCCAGCACTTTGGGAGGCCGAGGCAGGTGGATCACAAGGTCAAGAAATTGAGACCATCCTGGCCAACATGGTGAAACCCCAGCTCACTGCAACCTCTGCCTCCTGGGTTCAAATGATTCTTTTTACTCATCCTTCCAAGTAGCTGGGTGTACAGGCGCACACCACCACACCTGGCTAATTTCTGTATTTTTAGTACAGACAGCATTTCACCCCGTCTGGGTGAGGTGGCAGGTGAGGTGGCAGGTGCCTGTAATCCCAGCTACTCAGGAGGCTGAGGCACGAGAATCACTTGAACCTGGGAGGCGGAGGTTGCAGTGAGCTGAGGTTGCACCACTGCACTCCAGCCTGGTGACAAAGCCAGAATCCTTCTCAAAAATTAAAAAAAAAAAAAAAAAAAAAAAAGTTACATAATTAGTAAATTCAATGCAAATGTCTACTGAGAGAAAATAAAAACTATCTAGGATGATATACCTGTAAAATAGAAGAACTTACTAATTTATAATACAAATTTGCTTGTGTTTACAGAAACATGTTCTCAACAAAGGATATAAGTATACTATGGCTAATGTTTCTTTATATATCAATTATACTTTGTTTTAAATCTCAATTACGAGGTGATTATAGAAACATAAAATATCTTTTTCTAAATAATGTACCACTCTGCCAAATTATTTCCTAATTATAAGATGCAAATATTTGTATTTGAGAAATGTAGCAAAATGAAATATAACTACAAATGAGTAAAGACTACACTTAAGCTTTTATATTCAAGAGCCTCTATTGAATATGGGGTATTCAATAAACAGCTGACTAAACAAAGAAAAATAAATGGGTATAAAATTATAATTACCTATATTTTTATAGGACAACTGATCTTGACTAATACCAAACTGGAAAGTACAGGATTAGAAGAGAATCATTAGTTCAAGCAAGCCTGTGAAACTGAATTAAATCCAGGTGTCTTACATATTGTTGTAGTAATATATTGAGGCTGTTTATTATAACCAACTCTTTATGGACGTGTTTTCCATAATAAACCACATGGTCAGACCACACTAAATGGTTGTACTGAAAGAGAAAAGAATGAAAACAGAAGCTTTTTACACCTGCCTTCTCAAGGTATGGCATTTCTTGTTCACTCTGAATGTATAGACTCAAGATAGATCTTTGTGTTATTGAGATGTTGGCCATCTGGTTAACACAAGAAATAAATCTATTCTACTGCTGTATATAAAAGTAAACTTCATCAAATTGTCCCTGTTTGCAGATGACATGATTGTATATTTAGAAAACCCCATTGTCTCAGCCCAAAATCTCCTTAAGCTGATAAGCAACTTCATTGATAACTTTGAGATAAATTATCAAATAAATGAGAACTTAAATGTTCGGAAACTCTTTAAAGCCTTCAGGGGATTCCAGCTTAATATTTTTTTTTTTTTTTTTTGAAGGGACAGAGTCTTGCTCTGTCGTCCAGGCTG